AAAATGGATGCATTATATGAAAACTGTGAAATCAGAGAATAAATATTTCAATTTTTTACATTATTTTGATCTAATTCTAATTAGTTTAATATTCCCAGAGAATGTTACTATTCAGGTTTTCTAGAAGGAGGAGAGATATTACTGAAATAAAGGAGCTTCTTTTTGGAAATTCACAAAAACTATAAATTCATGCACACACACACAAAAGCAAGAAAGCCATTTATCTTTATAGAGACAAGAAATAATACTCCTGGCTATTACATTTTATGTCTTCTATTTAGGTTCAAATAATGGAAAAGTATTAAAAATAAAATCTGACCACTGAATTATCAGGAGTGTTTGATTGAAAAGGAAAAAAAAACCAAAAACAAAACAAACAAAAAAACCATCTCTTTCTAGGCAATCTGTGGTTTTGCTGCTTTTACTTTTCTATTATGATTTTTAATAAGGTTGTAGGGTTACTGACTGAAGTATATCCAGAGTATATGTATCACATTGGGACTTTAGTAAATTACTTCATATTGTCTCACAGGAACTGATCTGAAAAAATCCCCATCAAAATTGGTTTGGACTGTAAGACCAGCCCATGAGCTCCAAACTTGGCTACAAGACAAAGCTTACTGATGAATGGATTCATACTGAATTGCAGGGAGAAGGCTAGCAGTTATTTTTGTGCAGGCTGTTCTTACTCATGACAGGGCTGGATGTGGTTCATTGTTTCTTAATTTTTTTTTAAGATAACAATGACCAAATGAGCATAATAAATCCTGGTCCTTTTGAAAATTGTCTGAATCATAAAGGCACCTTCACAGTTAGGCTCAATTTGGCAGTTTTAACAGAGTATAGGAAAGAAAATGAAATTGTTTCCTCAGCTCAGAGTCAATCCCTTCATGTCAGGGTTACAGGTGAGGTATGCTGACTGGACAGTGATGGGTTCTTCAGTTTTATTACTGTTGATCCTGTTCACAGCAGCTTGACTCAGAGACATCAAACTGGCTTGCAGTAGTTTTGTACCATGGACTTTTCTTTATAGTTGTTTCTTTCAGTTTCATGAGGTCACATTGGGAGCAGGAGGATTCAAATACCTGAATTTATGTACCTGTAAGTGTCTACACTCCCTTGGTAAGAGATGGAGATCTAAGCAAGACAGTGACGAGAACAGCTCATTTCACCCTGAAGTAAATGCTAGTTTTTTTCCACTAGTGATGTACTGAGTAGGTCTTCATTGTAACTGGAGTTGAGACACTGCACACACTGTCATCTGTGTTTATATGTCATTCTCTGCGAACTGACTTCCAGCCTCTTTTTCTTAGATGCTGTTGTGAAACAACAACAAAAAAAAATGCTTGGCAGAAATATTTTAGTCTGACAAACGTGCACTATTCCTAGATTGGGAGGTGGCTGTACTTTCCTGGAGCATAGCCTGGAGAGCCATATTCACAGCCTATGTGACTACCGTACAGGTCTTAATATTGATAGCATTACGGACAATACTTCAGAGCTTTGGGACTCCCTGCTCAGAAGCTAAGAGCCTCTCATCTCTATCCTTAGCTTGTCTGTCATAGAAGCTGAGATACTATGTATCCAAATGCATCACTCCAACACTTGTGATTTAGAAATAACCATAGAGTCATCTGTGATTCACTAATGGCTACAGACATCCTATTCCCAAAACCAGGGCCAAGAGGGCTACGATTTGGAGAAAAATTGAAAGTTCTGATGTATGGTCAGAATATTCCTATGTGACAAATGTGATTTACAGAATTAGATTACTTTTTTTTTTTTTTTTTTTTTTTTTTTTTTTCCCCAGCAAGAATGGCAAAATCATATGCAGCAGAGCTCTTTTGCATAAATAACACTGACCAGCCACAAAACTAAGCACAGATTGCTTATGAGTGTAGGTGAACTATGAAATTACCACATATTGAACCAAGTGCAAAATAAACACCTATTTTATTGCTCTCCTTGTCTTCAATTTACTCCAAGATAAGAATTCTTGAAAAATATTTGTCAAAAGTTTTGAAACTAATCCATGTTTTTCTGGCAATAAATGACAAACTTTGTCATTTAAAATTAGAAGAAATCTGATTAGGAAGTATATTTCTTCACTGAATCCTGGAGAAACTAGTACAAGATACCATCTCAGGCTTCCAGTTCCCCACTAGTATGTAGTAAGCATCAAGTTTGAACAAGACAATTCCGTGCCAGCCTCAGGCACAGAACAGAGATTACATTAGTGGTGTTAAACTGTGACCTACTTGCAAGATCCTGGCCATGGTAAGAACTTGCTCTAAGGATTGCTGTCTGTGCTGTTTTTAACACAGTGAATTACAAAATAGTTCTGACTTGCCTTTGCGATGCAGGGGAAATAGATGGGTTTATTCGCTCTGGCTGAACACAAATACTGCTGATGGATACCTGCTGTTCCTCTTCCAAGGTATTCTGGGTGACACCTTAAATGGGATTGTATTATTTCAGCATTAGTAGTTGATCTAAGGGCAAACACTTCCTCTTCTTACTGTCCCATGTAACTAATATGCTTATACAATTACAATCATACTAGTGCAGCGCCATAGTACTTCATGATGGTTGGGAATTTGCATACTATTCCTGTTTCTCTCCAGAATCTCTGAGATACCTACCAGATTTTGAAGAGATAATGACAGTGCTAAAAGAGATAATCTAGGGAAAAAAAAAAATAAATAAAAAAAGCAAATAGCATGAGAAGCCACATTTGCTTGATTCCAATTAGGACAAGTGAAACAGAATTGCACAGCTATCAATGCTAAGATATAGCATATCATGCTAAACTGTCACCTTAAAATAAGCCTCTAAAGTAGTCACACTACAATAAATCATTGAGCTATAGACTTGTATCAGAGAAATGTCTCAAGTCCTTATCATACGAAATCATTAAAGTTCTGTTGTTTGGGTTTTTTTAAATTTGGAGTTGAGCAACTGTGGCATATATTATTAAACAGTTTTTAATCAGTTTTTCATAGGGTGGGTAGTAGTAACTACATTTTGTGAGTGGCCTTTTGTAACCACTGTGTCTTATCTGTGCTGATTTCTAGACCTTGAGTAGTCCAAAGTAGAAAAAGGATATCAAGGTAGTTAGAAAGGGGCCATTTTAGAAAAGGGTAGACCTTCCACATCCTGGAAACTTTAAAGTTAAAATCTGTCTTGGAAAGCTCAAAGATCACATTTGCTTTAACCCTAGAAAGATTAGGGGTTTGTATCATAATTTGGGATTTAACACTTCGATTCTACCTTAGATCTTCTTCACGTGCAGGTTTCAGTTTTGAGACATTTATGAATATTAGCAAGAGTGATTTTATTTTATTTTTTTTTTTTTTATTGCTGAGAGCTCTATTGAGATGTCTATGTATACTTACTAGAAAAAAAATCCTGTTCTGTGACTGTTTCCTCACTGAAAGATGCTTTTGAGGGCTGTCAGTTGGTCATTCCTTAATCCTCTCAGTGTGAGTTGTACTGATATTTCATAGTTGTCATTATTAAACCAGTTCAGCTTTCTCACAGTAGATTACAGACTGATCTCTGAACCATCTGCGCCTGGCGACTGTGTATCTGAATATATAAGGTGTTGGGTGCCTCTAGAAACAAGGCAGTGAATTGATGATGGTTCAGAAAGGAAGAGGAGTTTGAAAAAGAGCCTGGCTTCTAAACATCTGAAAAGAAATGGTTGCTTTGTGTGGTGCATCTTAGCCAGCCTGCAGTCCATGCTGTGCCAGCACTGCAGTTGAGTGGCAGCGTTGCAGGATCTTCAGCAAGCTTCCAGAATTGCCCAGAGTCCCTCTGGAACTTTCTCTTTTTCATGGAATAATGCTAACTGCACTTAACTAAGAACTGTTTGCTATAAACAACCAACAAGTTTTATTATATCAGTCTGATATCAGTTTTCATATTTAAATTCACAGCATTTAAGGGGAAAAAAACCCACAGCCAGCAGTACTTTCATACATAATTGTTGCTAATATGTGGAGAACAGAACACTTTGAATTTCAAGGGCTTCTTGTGCCTCAACTATTTGACTAAGAGCCTAGTTTTCATAAAAGAAAAAATTTACCTATTCACATTCTTCAACTCTCCTACTTTCTTGAGAAGTTAGTGCTTCAAAAGAAGGATTTTATGATGATAATAATAAAAAAGTCCTCCCACTTGATATTGTGTAAAAAATTATATCCTTTCTACTTCTAACTTGCTTTTAAAAACAGTTTTGTCTGAAATCTTCCATTAAAAAAAAAAAAAAAAAGTTTTTTAAAAGGCTGGTATTAATAAGATATTTGGTTATATAAAAGTTTGAATATGTGACATTTCACAAATTTTGACATATTCTTCTAAATCTAGACATATATACCTCAAAGACATTTGTTTTAAAGCAATAAATGTATTCAATTTTCCTCAGTAAGAAATGTACAAAAGACTCTTTAAAGTAATATAGGCTTCAAATTTAGAGTTACTTTTTATGGTATTTAATGTGAAAGAAGTGTTTAGATAAACAGCTAACATTTCCTGTCTTCTAGAACAAATGCTAAATAAGTGGTGTAACAGTGAATTACACTGATGATGTAAAAGCTAATTTGTGTATTTACACGTTATTTTTTTAAACAGAATGGAAGGTGATATGGCATATGGAATTGCAGAACTAGTCAAAGGTACTTATTTCTTCAATTTTGAGTATTTCACTGCTGGTTTTCTTTTTACAAGTCAGATTCTTTCTTTACTCGTTAAAGTTTATTTACTGTACTGACCATACCAGTTTAATGAGATTTCTATTTGTCATCTGTACTTTTTTAAATCTACAAGATTTGCAGGCTTCAAATCAAGCATCAGATTTGTGAAGACAGTGAGATTTATAGATGTATATTATTTCTGTAGTGTTCAGAATTATTCTTCTAAACCTAAAAGCTCTTATTCTGAATCACAGCACACTGACTAATGACAGTTGCATTGACCACAAAGTGAAATAGCATACTTACCTCAGCTAGGAAACCATGGCCTTCCCTTCATTCAGAATTGGACCAGATGTTGCCAGATAGGTGCCTCTGGGTGCCGTTGTTCATGAAATTTAAATTCTTATTCAGTGTCTCTCTTGACTTTTTTTTTTTTTTTTTTTTTTTTTTCCTTCCCTGAAACAGATTTGTAAGACTTTTCTTGCTCAGGAGAAATTTCCTTACAGTTCCTGATCTTTCCTTGTTTCACACAGTCTCAGCATGTTTCTGACTTCCTGCACGAATTCATGCATGGTCTGCTGGCAGCTTCATTCCATGAATCAATTTATGGAGACTGGATATTTCCTGAAAAACAAATTGATTGTGTTTTCGACTGCCTCTGATTTAGCCTCCTGAGCTAGAGTATTTGCTAAAATTCAAACTGCCTTTTTACTGTCAGCTCATATCTTATGTTTGTAACCCTGATGTGTGCTGGCCATGGGAACCACAATACAATTTGTTCCTCCCCTACCTCTGCCACAGAGCACACAGGCTCATGCCTGATCTTCACAGAATGTGAAAAAACCTCCGAAGGTTTCCTGTGTTCTTAATGATTTGCCCCAGTGTTGTTTCTCTACAGACTGCAAGCAACTTGCTTCTGCATTTTCATTATACAATTATTTTGAATGAACTGAACTTGAGTACAAATCTCTGGTCACCTGGACACTGGAAGCAGAAGGACACTTACTGCCATCTCCTCCAGCACTGATACTACAAGTTGGAGGAAAACTATTGATTTCATCTTTAAAGAACTCGAGACAGGGATTAGAAGGTCTTTTCTTTTCTTTTCTTTTCTTTTCTTTTCTTTTCTTTTCTTTTCTTTTCTTTTCTTTTCTTTTTTCTTTTCTTTTCTTTTCTTTTCTTTTCTTTTCTTTTCTTTTCTTTTCTTTTCTTTTCTTTTCTTTTCTTTTCTTTTCTTTTCTTTTCTTTTTTCTTCCTCCTTGTGAAGTTCATTATACTTTTCAGAAATCATTGTTCTTTCACTTTTTCAAAAGAAAGTCTACCTCTTTTAACTCATTAATTATCAATAATTTGAAACGTAAATGTGATGAGATGTGATTACATAAATTCAGTTAAATCTTCCATGTTGAGGTGGACCTCAGAATAAAACATTAAAGCACGGAAATCGAAAACTAGAGCAGAGAGTTACAAATGTAAGGAAGGTGATGACTGTAAGAAACTGGCTAATGTTTTGTTCACAGCTTGTTGCAGTGAAGTTATTAAAAAACTGCTACATTATGAAACAACTATCTGACTGTAACTTTTATTAGCTAGGCAACCATTTCCCCATAACCCCACTAGGCCAAGGACAATGGAGCATCATAAATCTTAACAGCTGTGTCTTAGGCAAAGCACAAGCAAGAGAGAAATATCTCTTACCTTTCTGTTCAGATACCTCCACTTAATAGCATATACGTCTCTGAATATTTGCTACGCAGAAGATACAGACATTTTCAGTTCTCTTTCAAAAAAATTATGACCTAAAAAGGCCAGAGGTTATAGAAGAGGATATTTGATGCTTGTCAATCTTCTATTAGCACTTGATTCAATCAGGTGAATGACATTTTAACCTGATTTCACTCTGACTCTCTTCTGTTCCACACTCCAGTGACAAGGCTTTTTTCTTCTCCAGAAGTAGGTGATCTGATGCAATCCAGTCTGCTGTGGTAGAGCAGGTCGTTATCAATCAAAGTGTGCTTAATGCAAGCAAAAATAAAAAGAAGGATTATTTACTTACTGGTGAAAGACCTTTTTACAATTTTAAAGGTAATAAACAGGAGTCTGAAATCCCTTTTGTACTTTTCCTTTCATGTAGATAATTTTTCATTACTGGAGGGTCTAGGAGATTTTATTTTAGTCCCGTCTGATTGTCAGTGCCACAAAAACAGTTTTTAATAGACATTGATTGCAGGGAAGAACCTGTCTGCTTAATCATGAGGCATGGATCAGCTCAGGATCTGTACATACCACATGATGTGAATAGGAAGTCATTTACTTGACAGCTCCTTTTCCAAGGGTAAATTGCCAATAGCTGTAGTGCTCTGTAAAGGCACTAGAGAGTTTGAGAGTTTGGGAGGCTCTTTCACATACACACTCACTCTTCATTTTGCTTTTCCTCCAGTGCCTTTGGTCAAAATTGGTTATTCTTCCTGATAGAAAACAGGAAAAACTGGCTGTAACTGTAGTTTGCATTAGGACTTTCAGCATACCTGGGCTGATATAATTTTTGGTCTACATTTACAAAATTGAATGTTCAATATGTTGTATATCTGTCAACTCATCTTAACTCTTCTTTCTTGTGAGATATGTGATGGTGGTTTTGTTAAGACCTTTGGATCTGAGGTATAGTGTAGGTGCATATCTTTGTGAAAGACAGAAATGGAGATAAAATGTTTAATAACTTACCACTGGTTTTGGGAACTGTATTTTGTGCCTGAATGAAAAACCTAATAAAGGAGGCGAAAAAAATTTGGCCAGATCTGACTTGTCTGTCCACTCTCTTTCTCAGTCTCCCCAAACACCCGAGGACCTGAGAGACCTTTAGCCATCCCAAATCACCCAGCAATAGGCTCAGCAGGAAAGGGATGATCTCCCAAAAGCAAAAGAGCCACATCACTGAATGCTAATTAACTTCACCTCTCCTGACCATAAAGCTGTAGTTGGGGTCCAGTTCTGCTAGTGATAATTGAAGGATCTCTGCCTGATTCTTTGCTCAGCATAAATATGATCTGAGGCCAATTATGAATTTTAGCCTTCATCTTTCAGTGCTTCTTTCTCCCAGAAGTAAAATCCCTCTTTTCTCAGCTGGTGGTCTGAAAATACTTCATGAGAGAGATCCTACCACATATGTTTTCTACAGCCCCGAACAGAATGGAGCTCTAATACAGGATGTAGCATGTATGCACTACCATGACTCGAATACTACTGATATTTACCCTGCTCATTCTTCACTAGGGATGTGTCACAACAACACAGGCAATAAAGATCTAACCTAACTGAGTAAGGCCCAAAATACCTTAGATATTTCTTTTTATCAGAGATGGAAGTATATTCTCAGTGCTTGTTTTCTTCCCAAGTAAAATTTATAAGGAAGCAGCATATCAACTACTAAACATTAATATATTCATTTTGAAAGGCAAATAGTTAAAGCTGTATTGTAAACAGAGGGGTACCAAATTGTAACACTCACACAATGCACTAAGTGGAATGTTATTGATGAGCCATATTCAGAAAAAAACCACTAAACTAAATTCATTCTCAATGTAACACTATTAAAGAAATCAGGGGAAACTGAATGCTTGCAAGCAGAATAAAAAATCTAAATCATGTTTGACACAAAAGACAATACAAGCTACTGGACAGTGTTTTCCAATAGTCTATAGAGAGGATAAAAAAATATGAGGGGAATAAGGCTACCTGCTCTGTCAGATGACTTGTGTTGCCATTTTATTAGGTCGTCACATATTGATGTGCAAAAATTGTTGATCATCGTAGCCTGGATAGCAAATACAAAAACCTAAACAAAACACTGTGTTTTAGCCCCTTGTCTAGTTCCTTAGCACAAGTTTCTGTGTGTGATAGTTGATGATTGTTGCTCATGAATTTCAGTGATAATTTCCATTCTTTATTCCAAAGAGAAAGAACAGCTGAGACCAAATTACTTTGTGCCAAATAAGTTTCCTGAATTTTTGTTTTTAAGAATATTTCATTATTATTGTTTTGCTATTACAAGCTACCCTGCCTTTTAGTCTCTTCTCATACAAGTGTGATTGCAGTAATGGAGTATATCTTTGCTTGAGAAATGTCATTTGTGGTTTCTTCTTCATCATGTCTGTTTCCTCTGGGAAAAGTATTGCCAGTCACTGCAATATCCACACAAATGTCCCTCCTTCACCATCTGAACCATTAGATGATATCAAATTCTTGGTAATAAGGTCATCTAATAATATTAGACTCCAACTTTCAGGAAAGCAACGCATCCAATCCTTCTTAACTTCCAAGACTATCATTGACTTGATATGCTCCGTATTCCGTGTTCTGCATATATGTCTTAGAATAATTACAATGTTGGAGATGCTCTTATCCTCCTCTAAATTGCCCACAAAAAATAAACACTGCCCACTGAGTTGCCTGTTCAGTGATATAACCCTGACTGGCCTTACTGCTTTAGCTGAAGAAAACAAATACCAAATATGTCACAGATGGACATGGACATTGCATGGTAATGGGTCTGTATTCTGTTGTGTGATCTGGACACAATAATTTTGGTTCTGCTGCTAAGAAAGTGGAAACAGTATCTGCTCCTTCAAAGAACATGAAAATCACCCTGGAAAAGACATCTGGAGACCCTCAGTTTGATCATATGATCACATGCCAAATATATTCTCAATATAAAGCCACTTTAGAGGAGCATAGACCTCAAAATGTGGACAAGGCTAGTGTGTTCTTGGCTAACAGAACTGACATTTCAGTTCAGTCTTAGAGGTTCCAGCTGGGATGTCATTCTGCGGCAGTATTACATGTAGCCCAGAGGGAATACTGGTACAGACATTCAGAACATATTAGACAATTTTCTTGGTGCAGTTTGAGTTTAGGACACTACTGTGAACACTTGCTACACAATAGAGGAAAAAAGAGACAGAATGAGTTCACTACTGTGTTGTGAACACTCCTACTGTATTGTATAAATCTCCCTAATCCTTAATCTTTCTTTTAAATCTCAAGATTTAAGAGTGTCAGACCTTATATTTCACTGACATGCACAACAACTTAACAGTCTCAGAGCTATTACTCTACATTCACCTAGTCTTCACTCATCAGATACACCCCAGTAGCACAGTTTATATTTTCCTTATACCCATAACATTTAGTAAGCAACCTCATTTTTATTGTAAACAAGAATTTCAAAGAAAGTGGTATTTTAAAGTTGCACTACAATGATTCATAGATTTATATCTGTAGCTTCTGAACCTTAAGTTATTTAAACCTTTTAATGACTTCAGATAGAAAAGAATCACTGCATACTGCATTACACTTGTCTCTGGATTAATTGAGATAATATAAGAGAAAACCTAAGCTATTTCTCTTTGAAATGACATGATTGTCAATAGTTAGTACTCCCTTTGTTTCCTAAGTGTCAGAAGCACCAAAGAAACTACTTAAAACATGAAGTTACTTGCTTTTATGAGTCCTAATTAGTCTCTATAAACACAGATATACTATATGATTGTCCTGGTTCAGGCCAGGATAGAGTTAACTTTTCTTGGTCTGAGAGGGAGCACAGCTAGAAGGCCAGGACAGGATCGGTCATTGGAGTGTTCCATGTCATGGGATGTCATGCTCAGTGTATAGGCGGATGCATGCTTGCTCACACTGTTTCAGTTTCGGTTGCTGGGTCAGTGAGACGGGATTTCTGGTTTGGGTGGTATCGCAGCTGGGGCGGGCTGCGTATCAGTTGCCGGTCAGTGAACCACTGATGCATTTTATCTGTTTGGACTTACTATTTTTACTGTTGTTTTCTTACTACTAATAATTATTTTTTTTTTATTCAACCTATGAATTTTTTTGTCCTTCCCCTATTTCACCAGGGAGGGGAGAAAAGTAAATGACTGGCCACATGGTGTTTGGCTACCAGCCAAGTTCAAACCATGACAGTCTTTTGGTGCTCAACCTGGGGCCTAAGGTTTGAGATAACAACAGAACAGGTAATAATGTTGATTGCTTAGCTCCTTAAGATTTTACCACCTCATTTGCAATATATGTTTCCCATGTTGTTGCTCACTGTCGTGAGAATTAGTTTAAGAATTTGGTTTTGCTGTACTATGTAATGTTGATCTATGACTTGATGGAGTCATCAGGCCTGAGGCTATCTACAACTGTGTTGGAGAAATTTGGGAATTTCGAATATCCTTGGAATGTTGACATTAACACGGTCCTCTTACTGCTAGGAGCTAGTGTGTTCCTGCATGTGGTTCAGGTTTTGTTCAGAGTTAAGCAACTATTTAAGAGTATCACTTGGAAATCTACCCCAAGGTTGGGGAATTATGAGTGTCTGAGGGTGTGGAGTAGCATGGGCAAGTACCTAGAACAGTGGGCACCTCCAGTATACTGGAATTTCAATCCTGCACAGGTGCAGAATCCTGGAGAACTATTAAAATATTTGGAAAAAGTGTGTTGTCACCCGGGTAATTCTAGAGAGGCACAGCTCACTGCAACATGCCAAGCCCTAGCCCATGCTTACTGAGTGCTGTTAAACACTGTTCAGCACCCTCAGGATGAAGAGAAGGGCTCTGGATCTGGTAACAAAGTAATAGAAACTGCAGCCACTACAACCCCGAGGAGAGGAGCTGCAGCTGAACCAGAGAACCGACCAATGACGGTGTCAGTTGATCCCATACATAAGAAGAAACACACAAGAAAATCCCCTTGCAGTGTACAGGGTGATGATGAACCAGGCACATCACAAGAATAGGAGGAGGCAGAGCCAGTGACACTCACCTGATCCTTATCCCTGAATGAGTTGCAAGACATGAGAAAAGATTTCAGCCACCATCCAGGTGAGCAACTTGTTATCTGGCTGCTCACATGCTGGGATAGCAGGGCCAGTAGCATGGAACTAGAGGGCAGGGAGGTGAGGCAGCTGGGATCCCTGTTTAGGGAAGGGGACGTCAAAAAAGCCATTGGAAAGAAGACACAA